TCAAATCAAAATATGCTTTATTGCAAAAAGAGTAAAAATCTTGTCTACCAAGCAGTCATTTAGTGATTATATGCCCATTCAAGACACATTTACATCAGTGGCGTAACTACCGAGGGGGCAGAGGGGGCCGTGGCCCCTGGGCCCAGAGGCTCTTGGGCCCCATCCGAGCGGAAAATCGCGTGACGAACGCGGAGTTTTTAAAATTTGTCCCTCAGCGGGGAAATGTCAACTTATTGCGATATCGCAAAAAAGTTAAATTATTTTGCGCGAATTTTTATTCTCCGTCACTTTTACTGTCACCTGTGAGATGTGTGGTACGACATTTGATAAAAATCACTAAAATATCATGTGAAATACCCTAAGGGCTGATACTTTTGCTCTCGATTAACGAATTTGATACCTTGTCAAAGTTTTGCATGGGCCACGGTCTATAAGTATGATGTGGTTAGAGCACATTCTAACCCCTGATTATTTTTAACGGCTGTCAAATGAGAGCAAAAGTACCGGCACTAAATATACCTAAAAATCCGCTTGCGGAATTTCGCGTCATGTGAACTGCAAGTTATGGAATGCGATATTCCGCACCCGCAACGCGATTTTCCGCTCCATGAGAACTAGGCTTAAAGGAAGCTCGCCGAAAAACCGCGGATTTATTCGGGTGCCACTCCCAAAAACATTTGTAGAATACTTCAAAGCTTACGCTAGCAAACAAGCAATGATATGACAGGACTGCCACAATTTATTTGAAGAAAGGCCAAGGTGGTAACCCTAGTTGGAGCAGGAGGCGAAGCTTTTTTTAGTAGCCACGCTCAAAAATAACTTTTTCAAATCTAGAAGTTCCTTTATCAGGGCCAAAAATATCTTTCTAGTGTTTCGAATTTCTGGACGCCAGAGGTGAAATTAGTGATAGGGGATGATAGTAGCTATTTATGTCATAAGGACAAAAAAAGTAGGGAGCACCTGAGCCTGAAATTTTTTTCGATACCGTGGGAAAATCTCTAGATCGGCGGCGCCTTTGATCTGAAATTTCGTGAATTTGACCCCAAATTTTTCGACGTCATGATGTTATCGGTGGCGCCATCTATCGTACATAGTGTGAAGTTCGTTGTGTCCTTTTACAGGATGCCGTAATTGTAAATAAGAAATATTCGTGAATCAGCACGCTGTCGACGTTCAATGTGGGAACAAATAGGAGTATCATGTTTCACGGTTAACTGGTTGGCCCGGGTCAAATCCACGTAATTTCAGATCAAAGGCGCCGCCAATCTAGAGATTTTCCCACGGTATCGAAAAAAACAAAAACAAAAACAATCAAGCGAAGCCCAAATAGACCTTCTGGGCCGAATGGCATAAATTTTATCTCCAAGCGACTGCAATATTACCTTTCACAACTATAATTTAAATAGATGGCGCCACGGCCCTGGCGTCAGAACAAAAATTAATAAAAAAAAGTCCAAATAAGCTGAAAACTGCCTGCCTTTTATTCAAAAATTGATAGTTCGAAAATCGTCCCAACTACTCCTGACCACAGAATATGAACAAATTAATTTCACGTTTGGTGAAGTATTTGAATTACTTTTTGGGGTATTTCAATTACTTCTTACTTTCTGGGGTATTTGAAATATTATAAGTATTTTTGAGTACAAATGCCCAGTATTTGAATTACTTTTTTTGTTAATGCAAGTATCAAATACAAATACTTTATTGAAAGTATTTGTAGAATCAAGTACAAATATCCAAAAACAAAAGTATTTGAACTATAGTACTCCAAATACTAAAAAGTAATTGGAATACATTTTCCAAGTAATTTACTTGAAGTACTGACAGCTCTATATTCTGGGTTCTTATAAGTTAGAATGGGTTCATTCACCTTCTGGATAAACTGTCAGGTATGCAATCTGACTGATAGAAACGCAATCTGTAATCCCATTGGTCGGTCAGTTGGTCCATAATTTGCCCCTAAGAAAAACAGAATATTGCATACACCACTGCAATATTGTAATTGGGCCTCGCCAAACCGTTCTACCCCCAGGTCCAAAATCTGAAGTTACGCCACTGATTTACATTGTTGCCAAATTCCTTTTAGTTTATGAAATACGGGGTGATTTCTAAGAAAAAAATGTATTATCCGTTCACAATCCGATGTCCACAGGTAGGTAATGTCTGCCCAGCGACTCTGTGTCTACGGGGTAGGGGAATGCAGTTGTAAAAAAAAATGGCTGATTTCATTCATAAAATACCCAGCTGCGTGCGGAATTTTTTGGAAGTGTTATCGTATTGCAACTCCTACACGAAAATCGAAAATGACCAAACCCCCGCCACTGGATATTTCAATATAAACCGATATTCCAAGATGGGAGGATACAATGACAGAAGCCCTGGCCAATAGCGAGACGTGAGGTGACGTTTAGCCCATTGACAACGACATGGTTCCTCGTGGCAACGGCCATCCTGCCAAAAACTCCACCAATCAGGTTCATCCAGGCCGGATGCTTGCCAAATTGTCAAAAACTGATGGTATCTTTAGAAAATGTTTATTTTTTACAATGGACAAAATTGAAGAAATCAGTTATTAGAATAAGAATAGATCTAACAACCACGTTGAAATATTTAGCGTTTTATTGGTATCTATATTTTGTTATTAAAAAATGGATTTTCATATGAACTATACTTCATGCCTAGTATTTTCGCTTTTTTATAATTAAACGTGACAACATGGCACATTTGCGTCCAAATGAATTATTTTCGCATTTTCTGGAATAACTTCACTTCCAAATGAAAATATGGCTTGAAATACGCGTTTAACCATCAAATTCAAGCTTAAAACAATGGAAAAACCCCATTCCTAACGAATGTTTTGATCGATAACTGGTGATTATTTTCATCAAGTTCATTTCCTGGCGTATTTTTGATTGAAACCGCATTAAAGACGGCAAAAACCAAAACCCAAATTCCCTTCCACAATACTTCATTGCTTTTTAGACTGTTTCTCTATCAAAAAAGTAAATTATCCGAAATTATTGTGAGATTAGAATATTTTCGCAATTTTCTGGAATAACTTCACTTCCAAATGAAAATATGGCTTGAATACGCGTTTAACCATCAAATTCAAGCTAGTGGCGGTTCCCTCCATAAGAGCACATGTACATGTGCACTCCCAAATTAATATCTAACAACTTTAAATTTAATTTTATCATTCTTCAAATTTTAACAATCTACCTGTAAAGTATTAATTTAAAAAATTAGTGGCCAAAATGCGCCAGCAAAACAAACGCAACCGGCATTTATTATGAATTACAAATTATGTGCACCCCCAATATGTTATACCACGAGCCGCCACTGGATATACCCTATACCTAAGTTCAATTGTTTTGGAATTATTGACAGTTGAAAATCGACTTTTTGCAACTTTGACAGGCTGTAAAACCTGAACGATTAATTTTAGAGTAAAACCGATTTTACATTCCTATCTTAGATTTTTATAAACTATTATTTGATACCAACTTCATATTTAATCCATGATTAAAAATTCCAATTAAATTTAATCTCCGGGTAAATTCAAAGTTGGTGTCAAATGATAGTTCATGAAACTGTAAGATAGGAATGTGAAATTGGTTTTTCTCTTGAATTAATCGTTCAGGTTTTACAGCCTGTCAAAGTTGCAAAAAGTAAATTTTCAACTGTCAATAATTCCAAAACAGTTGAACTTAGGTATAGGGTATATCACATGAAATCTGCTCAGAATTTTACGTAGAATCAAAATATGTAATCACATACAGGGTATTCATTTAAAATAGCGTTGTTGCCCACTGGTTTAGAGTAGAAGCGGGCAACACCGCATAAACAAAATATTTTTAAAGTGTAGATCATGGCTGTTTACCCCGGTTGCCAAATTTTCAAAATGATCCGCTTTTTAGTTCTCCATAAACGTCTAATACGCCATCCACCGTGGGACACCCTGTATATTATATATTATATGCATTTACATCTACCTGTCAATCCTGCCACCTGAGCGTGAGGATACCTGTTCATCCTGGTATATTATTAGGTGATAAGTATCTGTATCTCATTCTGTATCTCAAAAACTAGTCATAGGATTAGGGCGCTTCATTTTTTAGTTTTTCAATATCGTTTTTTTAAAGTTTGATTTTTTCCAAAATGACATTGAACCATATTTTACCTCACATCTTTGTTAATTTCAATCCGATCTTAACGTAATTAAGCTTGAAATGTATCCTTTACAAATCTATATTGAGTATTTTCAATGCAGCTTCAATAGTTTCGCAGCTACAAAGCTTTGAAGCCTTTGGACTTTGATTTTTATCAAGGTGAGTGCGTAAAGGTAAATTTTTATTTTTTTACTTAAATTTCAATTCTTTCTTCATCCACTTGCAAAATTGCAAACCAATCCTTTAAACACTTTCATTAAAAAAAAAACACCCTTCAATATCGTTTTTTGGAAGCCTGATTTTTTCCAAAATGACATTGAACCATATTTAACCTCACATCTTTGTTAATTTCAATCCGATCTTAACTTAATTAAGTTAGAAATAAAGTCAATTAAATTCTCTACAAACCCTTGGTGAATAATTTCAATGCAGCTTGAATAGTTTTTCGCTGTTCACTGTTCAAACTTCAAAGTTTTTTTTACTTTGATTTCTACCAAGGTGAACAAGGTCTATGGAGTAAAACCACTCCCCTGAATTTGTACAAACAATTCCTCAAACTTCTCACAAATTCCTCCAAACTGCTCGCAAATTCCCTGCAAATGCCTGTTACGAATTTCCTGGAAATCCCCAAAATTGTTCGTAATAAGAAATGTATTTTTCTATTTTTATTACACTCAATGTTAAAATCAATAAATTTCTCCAAGATTCCTCTAATTTCCCATAAATTTCTTCAAATTCTCCACAGTTTCAGCAAATAATTCCTAGGTGGTTTGCCCCTTGGCACAAATCACTTCAATAATTACAGCTATGAAAATCTCTTTTTTAACACAGGTATATGGGCAGATGATAGTGACGATGACGACGAACCAGAAAAGCCTTCGAAATTCTCCAACAACAAACCCAAAAACTACTCGGCCCCTATCGGGTTTGTGCAGGGAGGAGTGCAACAGGCAGGCAAAAAACCAAAAAAACCTATAGAAGTTAAACAAAACGACTCGGACAATGAAGAAAAACCTGGAACTTCATCTTTCAAACTTCGCGAACAAAACAGCTCAGACTCCGAAGAAGAAATACCTTCCAGAACAGGCTTTGGAGCTTCAAAAACAAAACAGCCCATCATTACTTCAGAAATAGCCGGCTTTAGAACAAACAAAAACAAAATAGATCCGGCCTTGATAAATCAAGGCCTTGGCAATTGGGAAAAGCACACCAAAGGCATCGGAGCCAAATTACTATTGCAAATGGGCTACGAACCGGGCAGGGGCCTGGGCAAAGACTTGCAAGGCATTTCAGCTCCTGTGGAAGCCCATCTACGTAAAGGCCGTGGAGCTATTGGGGCCTACGGACCAGAAAAACCTGCCTCAATACCCAAAGTACCTGTATTGAAAAAAGAAGCACCTGATAGTAACAATAAGGGTCCCTCCAAATGGAAAAAAGCTGACTTAATATCCAAAAATACTCGATATTATTACAGAAGTGTGGACGATGTAATTGAGAAAGGAAAAAAAAATTTGAAAAATCTTGGAGAGCTCAGCAAAGTCAAAGTTATTGATATGACTGGGCCTCAACAACGGGTACTGAGTGGTTATCACGCTTTGAGCGGACTTAAGGCTCCTTCAGGAGTGGAACATTATGAAGACGTTGTCCATAAAAAATGCCAGAACTTTGCTTTGCCTGAAATCCAACACAATCTGGATTTGTTGGTAGACATTTGCGAACAAGACATTATTAGAGCAGACAGGGATTCCAGGCACGTCAGAGACAAAATTGTAGCTTTAAAACAAGAAGAGACTAGCAAAAAAGAGGCTGTCCTAATGGAGGATAAATTAGTGAATAGTTTGAAGGATGTTTTGGATGTTGTCGATAAATTATTGGATCCTTTGCAGGACTTTTCTTTAGGACAAATTGGGGAGATTTTCAAAACATTAAAGGTAACAAATTGTATTGAATTAAACACTACTAAAGTGTTTCATTTGCAGCGAAATCATCCGGAAGAATATCAGCGTTACGAACTATCCGAACTAGCTCCAGGATTGGTTGGACCGTTGCTGACTTCGGCTTTGGCCAATTGGAACGCGCTGCAACAACCGCAACAGTATACGGATTTCTACAGCCAGTGGCGCGCGATTTTGGAGGACAATCAACGTGGGACTCTAGAAGGTAATAAAGTTGGAATACAGCCCTATGATAGTCTCATATGGCACACTTGGGTGCCAGTTATGAGAGCTTGCTGCAGGTAAGAGATTCCTTTTTGATAATCGACCATTTGTACCAGAATTTTCAATTTTAATTTATTGTACAGTCTCAGATAGTCCTTGTTATTTCAATTTATATACTTCACTAAAAATACTAATTTATTATTACTGGTTGTAGAAAAAATAGTGTAGGTATTCAACTGCCATTTATTGGCATTTGTAACCATAGACCTATGAATACTAATGCATGGATGGAGTTTTGAGAGTGAAAAGCGATGACAGAATAGTAAAGTGAGATAGCATTAATAAGTAACATTCTTTTTGTCATACTCATTAATTTTGTATTGCGATATGTTACTTTCATTCTGTCACCATGTCTACTGCATTTGCTAAATGGAGGTCGACTCCGTCCATATGTTAGTATTAATAGGTCTATGATTGTAACACATACATTGACTGATTTCTGCTATGCGAAAAGTTGTCCCAAAAATTTTACTAAAATAACATTTTGTTGGATAAACTAACTGTACAAAATGACGACGTGTAGAAAAAACTCATTGGGAATGTTTCTAAAATTGGCCATTTTATTCTCAGTTTTATGTCAGTGAAAAGCTACAAAATGGCATCAGTTTTCTCAATGTTCAATTTATTCCGGCTCTTGATTCAAAAAATGACGACGTGTAGAAAAAACTCATTGAAAATATTTCTAAAATTCGCCATTTTGTTCTTAGTTTTATGTCAGTCAAAAGCTATAAAATGCCATCAGTTTCCTCAATGTTCAATTTTTTATTTTTCTCATTTTTTGATTCAAATCAAGTGCCTGTGATAATCACTGAATTGCATAAAAAAATAAAATGACGACGTGTAGAAAAAACTCATTGAAAATGTTTCTAAAATTCGCCATTTTGTTTTCAGTTTTATGTCAGTAAAACTACAAAATGCCATCAGTTTCCTCAATGTTCAATTTTTGATTTTTCTCGATTCTTGATTCAAATCAAGTGCCTGTAATAATCACTAATTTGCAAAAAAAATAAAATGACGACGTGTAGAAAAAACTCATTGGAAATGTTTCTAAAATTGGCCATTTTATTCTCAGTTTTATGTCAGTTAAAAGCTACAAAATGACATCAGTTTTCTCAATGTTCAATTTTTCCCGGCTCTTGATTCAAAAAATGACGACGTGTAGAAAAAACTCATTGAAAATATTTCTAAAATTCGCCATTTTGTTCTTAGTTTTATGTCAGTCAAAAGCTATAAAATGCCATCAGTTTCCTCAATGTTCAATTTTTTATTTTTCTCATTTTTTGATTCAAATCAAGTGCCTGTGATAATCACTGAATTGCATAAAAAAATAAAATGACGACGTGTAGAAAAAACTCATTGAAAATATTTCTAAAATTCGCCATTTTGTTCTTAGTTTTATGTCAGTCAAAAGCTATAAAATGCCATCAGTTTCCTCAATGTTCAATTTTTTATTTTTCTCATTTTTTGATTCAAATCAAGTGCCTGTGATAATCACTGAATTGCATAAAAAAATAAAATGACGACGTGTAGAAAAAACTCATTGAAAATGTTTCTAAAATTCGCCATTTTGTTTTCAGTTTTATGTCAGTGAAAAGCTATAAAATGGCATCAGTTTCCTCAATGTTCAGTTTTTGATTTTTCCTGGCTCTTGATTCAAGTGCCTGTAATAGTCACTAAATTGCATAAAAAAACAAAATGACAACGTGTAGAAAAAATTTATTGAAAATGTTTCTAAAATTCGCCATTTTGTTTTCAGTTTTATGTCAGTAAAACTACAAAATGCTGTCAGTTTCCTCAATGTTCAATTTTTGATTTTTCTCGATTCTTGATTCAAATCAAGTGCCTGTAATAATCACTAATTTGCAAAAAAAATAAAATGACGACGTGTAGAAAAAACTCATTGGAAATGTTTCTAAAATTGGCCATTTTATTCTCAGTTTTATGTCAGTTAAAAGCTACAAAATGACATCAGTTTTCTCAATGTTCAATTTTTCCCGGCTCTTGATTCAAAAAATGACGACGTGTAGAAAAAACTCATTGAAAATATTTCTAAAATTCGCCATTTTGTTCTTAGTTTTATGTCAGTCAAAAGCTATAAAATGCCATCAGTTTCCTCAATGTTCAATTTTTTATTTTTCTCATTTTTTGATTCAAATCAAGTGCCTGTGATAATCACTGAATTGCATAAAAAAATAAAATGACGACGTGTAGAAAAAACTCATTGAAAATGTTTCTAAAATTCGCCATTTTGTTTTCAGTTTTATGTCAGTGAAAAGCTATAAAATGGCATCAGTTTCCTCAATGTTCAGTTTTTGATTTTTCCTGGCTCTTGATTCAAGTGCCTGTAATAGTCACTAAATTGCATAAAAAAACAAAATGACAACGTGTAGAAAAAATTCATTGAAAATGTTTCTAAAATTCGCCATTTTGTTTTCAGTTTTATGTCAGTAAAACTACAAAATGCTGTCAGTTTCCTCAATGTTCAATTTTTGATTTTTCTCGATTCTTGATTCAAATCAAGTGCCTGTAATAATCACTAATTTGCAAAAAAAATAAAATGACGACGTGTAGAAAAAACTCATTGGAAATGTTTCTAAAATTGGCCATTTTATTCTCAGTTTTATGTCAGTTAAAAGCTACAAAATGACATCAGTTTTCTCAATGTTCAATTTTTCCCGGCTCTTGATTCAAAAAATGACGACGTGTAGAAAAAACTCATTGAAAATGTTTCTAAAATTCGCCATTTTGTTTTCAGTTTTATGTCAGTAAAACTACAAAATGCCATCAGTTTCCTCAATGTTCAATTTTTGATTTTTCTCGGTTCTTGATTCAAATGAAGTGCCTGTGATAATCACTAATTTGCAAAAATAAAACAAAATGACGACGTGTAGAAAAAATTCAGTGGAAATGTTTCTAAAATTAGCCATTTTATTCTCAGTTCTATGTCAGTTAAAAGCTACAAAATGGCATCAGTTTTCTCAATGTTCAATTTTTTCCGGCTCTTGATTCAAAAAATGACGACGTGTAGAAAAAATTCATTGAAAATATTTCTAGAATTCGCTATTTTGTTCTTAGTTTTATGTCAGTAAAATTACAAAATGCCATCAGTTTCCTCAATGTTCAATTTTTGATTTTTCTCGGTTCTTGATTCAAATCAAGTGCCTGTGATAATCACTTAATGCAAAAAAAAAAAAAACAAAATGACGACGTGTAAAAAAAACTCATTGGAAATGTTTCTAAAATTCGCCATTTTGTTCTCAGTTTTATGTCAGTGAAAAGATACAAAATGGCATCAGTTTTCTCAATTTTTGATTTCTCCCAGCTTCTAATTTGCACCAAATGCCTAGAATAATCCAATTAATTAGATAAAAAACCTATGTCCAATGACGACGTGTAGGAAAAATTATTCAAAATACATTTTGTAACAAAACTTTTGAAACAACCACAATTTTGATTTGGTTGAATTTTAATAGAAAAGGAAAATTGATCTGCCTATGATCATATTATTTCATCAAAAAGGATAACTGATAGATTGTACACTATTTACAAAAATAATGCCAAAAACACAAAATATAAATGTATTCATCTGTTACAAGCTGAAAATCTGACATAGAATTTCTCTTCCCAGTTCATGGAATCCGCGCGATTGCGAGCCAATGATTTCCCTAATCGAAGCCTGGAAGCCCCTTTTACCCACCTGGATACTGAGCAACACTTTCGATCAAATGCTTATGCCACGAATACTCAAAGAAGTAAAAAACTGGAACCCCATGACCGACACCGTTCAAATTCACTTGTGGATTCATCCCTGGATACCGCTATTAGACGAGAGGCTTCACGAAAAAGTGTACCCAATGATTCAGGAGAAATTGGGCGAAGCTTTGACTGGTTGGTACCCATCTGATCGGTCGGCAAAAATTACTTTGGAGCCGTGGCAAAGGGTGTTGCCAAAAGGCACGTTTTTGGCATTTTTGTTGAAGCACATTGTCCCAAAATTGCAACATTGTATGCAGAATATGGTTATAAATCCTCATCAGCAAGTATTAGGTAAGGACTTGTTTATTCAATTGAATTTATTATAATATTGTTCAAATTCTAGCTCCCTGGGAATGGGTCATGGATTGGACAGACATGTTATCTACACCTAACATGACATTGATTTTGGACAAATTCTTTTTTCCTCGCTGGCTACAAATTTTGGCCATGTGGCTGAATCAGAATCCGAATTATACGCAAGTGACTGAGTGGTATTCAGGCTGGAAGCGAATGCTTTCCGACGAGTTACTTAGTCAGCCTACAATAAAGGACAGTTTTCATAAGGCTTTGGAAATGATGAGCCGAGCCGCCGGATTGATTCAACAGCCCGGAGCCAGAGAGTCGATTTCGTATTTGTCCACAAATGAGAATTCGGTACCTTTAGTACCACCGCCGCCACCAAAAATCGAGGTAAATTTCAGTGCTAGTTTAACTAACAATTATTTAATTATTATTTTTTTTTTTGCAAATAGAGTCTGGAAGAAGCCGTCCGTACTGCTGCTAAAATTCCTCAAGGCTTCAAGGATTTAGTGACGAAACGTTGCGAAGAACGTGGGATTTTATTTGTTCCGATTCCCAATAAGTACCACGAAGCCAAACAGGTGTACAGGATAGGCACTAGTGGCGTGCAGTGCTACATTGATCGCAATGTGATATTTTACAGTCAAAATAATGCCACTTGGGTGCCAACGTCGCTGAATCGCTTATTAGATGTATCTTCTTAATAAAACTTTTGTTTTTTTTTTAATTTGTTTTGTTTTATTCATAAATAATTTAGGAAATAAGAAAAGGACAAAAAAGAAAAGTTGAAAATAATAGGAAACTCTGTATTATAACCAACTCCTATAGATCTTTATGTCCTTCTCTCTTTATTTCCAAATCACACCCGCACTAGAGAAGTTTCCATTTTTAAAATGGATTTAGATTAGTTTTAAGAAGTAATATTAATAATTGAGCCGAAAATTCTAATATATTTTTTTTCCATCCAACAAGAGCCCCTTACAGGGTGTCCCATAAAAAGTAAATCACCCCTCTATAAAACAAAACGTGAACAAAGTGCATAGCAAAGCGATTTTGGATGTTTATTAACCGGAGATGATGAAGTCGTGCCGTCATGACTTATCGCCTTTTGCCGGCGAATGACTTCCACCCCGTTACCTCCGAATAACCTTCTTCGGAGGGTGCGAGCCACGAAACCGTAACTAAAATGCGACGATCGTTCTGTTTTGGGGGTGTCACTCACTTTTCTATGGTTTTCTGGTCCGCTGCAACAATAGGGGATGAATTCCTAATTTATGATCATTACTGATTAATAGGAGGTGTTGCCAAATTGCAAAGTTTCCGTAGTAGGTATTTCTAAATTAACCTAATGCAACTAAAATGATAAAAATTTCCTTGTTTATGTTGAGATTTTGTATCTAAATGATCATTGGCATCATTGGGGAAATCCCAAATACCATACACTAAATTATTCTGAGATTTTGAACCGAAATCTATGAGAAAAGGTACTCGAAAAAATTGATAAATCACCCCAAATTGCTTAACACGATTTTATCTCAGGAACTATAAGTGCAAATGAGCTGAAATTTTCAGGGATTGTAGTTTGTAGTCCTTTAAAAAAGATAAAATTCAGTGAAAGATTCAGCTTTCTATGTATAATAGAAAAAAAGTTATGACCTTCCAAAGTTTTTCAAAATCTAAATCATAAGGTAGGTACCTTCTTACTAAAACGTTGAAATTTCAAATTTTTTTTTGTCGAGATTTTGTATCCTAATGGTCAATCAACATCCCCCAAACTTCATACACCAAATTATTCTCAGATTTGAAGCCGAAATCTATGAAAAAAGGCACTCAGAAAAATTGAAAAATTGATAAATCACCCCAAATTGCTTAACACGATTTTATTTCAGGAACTATAGGTGCAAATGAGCTGAAATTTTCAGGGATTGTAGTCCTTTGAAAAAGATAAAATTCAGTGAAAGATTCAGCTTTCTATCTATAATAGAAAAAAAGTTATGACCTTCCAAGGTTTCCCAAAATCAAAATCATAAGGTAGGTACCTTCTTACTAAAACGATGAAATTTCAAATTTTTTTTTGTCGAGATTTTGTATCCTTATGGTCAATCAACATCCCCCAAACTTTATATACCAAATTATTCTCAGATTTGAAGCCGAAATCTATGAAAAAAGGCACTCAGAAAAATTGAAAAATTGATAAATCACCCCAAATTGCTTAACACGATTTTATTTCAGGAACTATAGGTGCAAATGAGCTGAAATTTTCAGGGATTGTAGTCCTTTGAAAAAGATAAAATTCAGTGAAAGATTCAGCTTTCTATCTATAATAGAAAAAAAGTTATGACCTTCCAAGGTTTCCCAAAATCAAAATCATAAGGTAGGTACCTTCTTACTAAAACGATGAAATTTCAAATTTTTTTTTGTCGAGATTTTGTATCCTTATGGTCAATCAACATCCCCCAAACTTCATACACCAAATTATTCTCAGATTTTGAAGCCGAAATCTATGAAAAAAAGGCACTCAGAAAAATCGAAAAATTGATAAATCACCCCAAATTGCTTAACACGATTTTATTTCAGGAACTATAGGTGCAAATGAGCTGAAATTTTCAGGGATTGTAGTCCTTTGAAAAAGAATAAAATTCAGTGAAAGAATTCAGCTTTCTATCTATAATAGAAAAAAAGTTATGACCTTCCAAGGTTTCCCAAAATCAAAATCATAAGGTAGGTACCTTCTTACTATAACGATGAAATTTCAAATTTTTTTTTGTCGAGATTTTGTATCCTTATGGTCAATCAACATCCCCCAAACTTTATATACCAAATTATTCTCAGATTTGAAGCCGAAAATCTATGAAAAAAGGCACTCAGAAAAATTGAAAGTTGATAAATCACCCCAAATTACTTAACACGATTTTATCTCAGGAACTATAAGTGCAAAATGAGCTGAAATTTTCAGGGATTGTAGTCCTTTGAAAAATATAAAATTCAGTGAAAGATTCAGCTTCTCTATCTATAATAGAAAAAAAGTTATGACCTTCCAAAGTTTCCCAAAATCAAAATCATAAGGTAGGTACCTTCTTACTAAAACGATGAAATTTCAAATTTTTTTTTTGTCGAGATTTTGTATCCTTATGGTCAATCAACATCCCCCAAACTTTATATACCAAATTATTCTCAGATTTGAAGCCGAAATCTATGAAAAAAGGCACTCAGAAAAATTGAAAAGTTGATAAATCACCCCAAATTACTTAACACGATTTATCTCAGGAACTATAAGTGCAAATGAGCTGAAATTTTCAGGGATTGTAGTCCTTTGAAAAATATAAAATTCAGAGAAAGATTCAGCTTTCTATCTATACTAGAAAAAAAGTTTATGACCTTCCAAAGTTTCCCAAAAATCAAAATCATAAGGTAGGTACCTTCTTACTAAACGATGAAATTTCAAATTTTTTTTTGTCGAGATTTTGTATCCTTATGGTCAATCAACATCCCCCAAACTTCATACAACCAAATTATTCTCAGATTTGAAGCCGAAATCTATGAAAAAAGGCACTCAGAAAAATTGAAAAATTGATAAATCACCCCAAATTACTTAACACGATTTTATCTCAGGAACTATAAGTGCAAATGAGCTGAAATTTTCAGGGATTGTAGTCCTTTGAAAAAGATAAAATTCAGTGAAAGATTCAGCTTTCTATCTATAATAGAAAAAAAGTTATGGACCTTCCAAAGTTTCCCAAAATCAAAATCATAAGGTAGGTACCTTTCTTACTAAAACGATGAAATTTCAAATTTTTTTTTGTCGAGATTTTGTATCCTTATGGTCAATCAACATCCCCCAAACTTTATATACCAAAATTATTCTCAGATTTGAAGCCGAAATCTATGAAAAAAGGCACTCAGAAAAAATTGAAAAATTGATAAATCACCCCAAATTACTTAACACGATTTTATCTCAGGAACTAATAAGTGCAAATGAGCTGAAATTTTCAGGGATTGTAGTCCTTTGAAAAAGATAAAATTCAGTGAAAGATTCAGCTTTCTATGTATAATAGAAAAAAAAGTTATGACCTTCCAAAAGTTTTTCAAAATCTAAATCATAAGGTAGGTACCTTCTTACTAAAACGATGAAATTTCAAATTTTTTTTTGTCGAGATTTTGTATCCTTATGGTCAATCAACATCCCCCAAACTTCATACACCAAATTATTCTCAGATTTGAAGCCGAAATCTATGAAAAAAGGCACTCAGAAAAATTGAAAAATTGATAAATCACCCCAAATTGCTTAACACGATTTTATTTCAGGAACTATAGGTGCAAATGAGCTGAAATTTTCAGGAATTGTAGTCCTTTGAAAAAGATAAAATTCAGTGAAAGATTCAGCTTTCTATGTATAATAGAAAAAAAATTATGACCTTCCAAAGTTTCCCAAAATCAAAATCATAAGGTAGGTACCTTCTTACTAAAACGATGAAATTTCAAATTTTTTTTTGTCGAGATTTTGTATCCTTATGGTCAATCAACATCCCCCAAACTTTATATACCAAATTATTCTCAGATTTGAAGCCGAAATCTATGAAAAAAGGCACTCAGAAAAATTGAAAAATTGATAAATCACCCCAAATTACTTAACACGATTTTATCTCAGGAACTATAAGTGCAAATGAGCTGAAATTTTCAGGGATTGTAGTCCTTTGAAAAAGATAAAATTTAGTGAAAGATTCAGCTTTCTATGTATAATAGAAAAAAAGTTATGACCTTCCAAAGTTTTTCAAAATCTAAATCATAAGGTGATGAAATTTCAAATTTTTTTTTGTCGAGATTTTGTATCCTTATGGTCAATCAACATCCCCCAAACTTTATATACCAAATTATTCTCAGATTTGAAGCCGAAATCTATGAAAAAAGGCACTCAGAAAAATTGAAAAATTGATAAATCACCCCAAATTGCTTAACACAATTTTATCTCAGGAACTATAAGTGCAAATGAGCTGAAATTTTCAGGGATTGTAGTCCTTTGAAAAAGATAAAATTCAGTGAAAGATTCAGCTTTCTATCTATAATAGAAAAAAAGTTATGACCTTCCAAAGTTTCCCAAAATCTAAATCATAAGGTAGGTACCTTCTTACTAAAACGATGAAATTTCAAATTTTTTTTTGTCGAGATTTTGTATCCTTATGGTCAATCAACATCCCCCAAACTTTATATACCAAATTATTCTCAGATTTGAAGCCGAAATCTATGAAAAAAGGCACTCAGAAAAATTGAAAAGTTGATAAATCACCCCAAATTACTTAACACGATTTTATCTCAGGAACTATAAGTGCAAATGAGCTGAAATTTTCAGGGATTGTAGTCCTTTGAAAAATATAAAATTCAGTGAAAGATTCAGCTTTCTATCTATAATAGAAAAAAAGTTATGACCTTCCAAAGTTTCCCAAAATCAAAATCATAAGGTAGGTACCTTCTTACTAAAACGATGAAATTTCAAATTTTTTTTTGTCGAGATTTTGTATCCTTATGGTCAATCAACATCCCCCAAACTTTATATACCAAATTATTCTCAGATTTGAAGCCGAAATCTATGAAAAAAGGCACTCAGAAAAATTGAAAAATTGATAAATCACCCCAAATTACTTAACACGATTTTATCTCAGGAACTATAAGTGCAAATGAGCTGAAATTTTCAGGGATTGTAGTCCTTTGAAAAATATAAAATTCAGTGAA